CCATTACACTTTTAAGTGTCTATCGTTTTATTTTTTATTTTTATTTTTTAAAAAATAAAAATATAATTTAAAAAGGAAAATTTTTAAATCAAACCACCACATTGTTCCCTCTCCCTACCTCCGACGACGAAGAGTCAATACCGGTTGAGTTCTGTTCGGTACAAGGCGATCAACTCAATGGTGACGGTCGTGTAACGTTCAGACAGTTGGAGTCGTTAGAATTGATGGAAAATATCAAAGGAAAACCTAAAATTTTGACGACCCTTCGCGGTGCTTTCCACGACGATTAGCGTAATTTCACAATGGGTGGGGAATTGGGTTTTGGTCGCGACAACGACACGATTCTGATGGTGTTAACAGTGACAGCCACGGACCGACTGTGGATGAAATAAATTTTGAGCTTTTTTAAAAAATTACAATATTAAGTAGTTTTTTTAATAAAAATTTTAAAATTTTATGTGTGACATGAACATTTAAATATAAGGGCAGTCCAAACACCTAAAAATGTAACGCTGGAAATGTTAGGTATCTATTTTTAACGAAAAAATCTTTAAACACCAAAAGTAAATTTGAGGTATAGTGTATATTCTTATTTTTGTATTAAGTCTATAATTATAAAGTAATATTTAAGTCTGATTTTAGATACAAATAAAATTGTTTGAATATGAATCATCTAGAATAACATTTTTTTTATTATCGAGATTGATCTTTTAAGGTTTAAATGAATATTATATATGTTAACAAATTATTTTAAAATTAATGAAACAACTAAATTTTGTTCTCTTAATACTTATATAATCAAAAGTTTTATATGATATTATAATTTTATAATTAATATAAAAACCATATAATTATAAGACTTATAGACAGATTATCATATCTAAGTGAATGGTGCATAGCTCAGTACTTTTTATAATGCCTTTTCCTTTTAGGATTATCATTGCAGCTTTATGAACATTTGATGTCTAATTAAGTGGTGTCGGATTACCCCACAATTTTTATAAATATATTTTCCTTTCCACTTTTCAAGATAATCATCACAATTTTATATTTACGTCTTTTAAATCGAAAATTGGATAAAAGAAAATTAAGGAAAACTATTAAAATGATCATTTTCATTTGAAATTTATAAATTTTTCCTCACTGAATTAAAAAAAATTAAGATTTGATCATTTTCGTTTCGTTTTAATTAAGATGTGATCATTGAATGTTAATGACCGTTAAACTTTCAAGTAGATATATAATACGTGTACTAAGTTTTGGTCATTTTTCTTTTATATTTGTACGTAAAAACTCACCAAATTCAAAAAACATAAGTTTACGTTATTGCTTTATTAAGTTTTGGTTACCTACTTTATCGTTTTATTAAGTTACGGTTACTTGGATGTTGACGTTGAATGTCGTTGGTTTGATGGTGTGACTTATTAGCAAAATGGTTTAATTTTTATTTCAACCCTTAAACTTTAGACAAAATACTGATTATGGGTTTTTTTTTGTAAATTCAAATTAGTTTAGGGACGACATTTCAATTTACCCATTTTTTAATATTTTTTCTCCCCAACCCTAATATTGCTTATCTTCTTCCTACTTCTTCTTCTGACATCTCTGCTTCATTGCAATAGTCTTCTTGTTTTTAATTATCAGTTGTAATTATTTGAAGTCAAATTAGATGAGTTCTCAATTGTAAGAAAAGGTATAAAAAGAAGTAACAAAGATCATAAAAAATGCAAAGAGTTCGTCATTAAAACTCTAAAAAGATTCACCACCATGCCACCGCCTCGAGTCGAGAAATCTAGAACTTCTTTAATGGTAGCATTATTGACGATAAAGTATCAGGTTTCCATCTCCGACGCGTTGTTGGCCAACGAAATCCCTGTGATGCGAAATATCGTCGAGAACGTTTTGTTGAATTCGAACATGATCAACCTCCATGATATTTACAAAGATCAAATCGACATTCATTTATTACTGGAGCTCTTATCTAACGGTGAGTTGTTCGATCAGAACATCACAAAAATGAGATACTCATAGGCCGGCGCAGTGGCAGTGATGTGATAGATCACACAGGTCACAAGGGTTAATAGTGATTTATTAGGATCTGGAATAGGAAAATTGTTTGTTCTTGAGAAAAAAAAGATTCGACGTTGAAAATCATGGATTGACCATGAACTGGTTTCTTAAGGGAAAATCACCACGAAGAGTGATGTAACGCTATAATTCAGTTTGACCCAAAGATCCATGAATTACAATGTTACACGGGACTACCAAAATAGTGACCCAAAAAATTTCTTTTAAAACTGTTTATAATCACTGAAAATGATTTGTCCATAGTGATGAAAATAAAATGTAATAATATAGGTTTACAAAATAATAGGGAGCTCCCAGTTATCCACTGAAGTGCATGGCACTGACTTGGATCCACTGACTGTCGTATTCTGCTAGAAGGAACTCAGGTGTCCTAGTTGTTTCCCGAGTATCAAACAAGGCTAGTTTTATGTAACCTAGTTATTATTGTTTCTACTATTCTGTTATTAATTTATGTTATCACTTGAATTCTTATTTGAGATTATTCTGAGTATATGGTGTACCTCGAGTCTGATCCCTTAACCCTTTGATTATTTATCCAAATCTGTTCGTGGGTACTGATACTGACCCTTCAGTATCAATACTAAACGCTTGGTATCGATACCCACCTGATGGTATCTAAACCCCCTGACTAACGTAGCTTTTGGATTAAGGCAGTATTAATACTCTAGGGGAGTATCGATACTTTAGTATTGGGGTATCGATACTTGGCTAAGTGTCGATACCAAATTTTGGTTCCATGTTTTGAAAAATACCCTAGTATCGATACCCCTATGAGGAGTATAAATACTTCTGCTCTGGTATCGATACTCAATGAATGAGTATCGATACTACCCTTATAAAACTGCCTATTTTCTACCCGAGTGAAGAACAATATCGCTATTGTAACTGTCGCTATTGAGTGCCCTATTTTGGCGTGAAAAATCCTATCTTTCTATCCCAAAACCCCTAGTGAGGTCCCCAACTGATGTTTAGGTATTTAATTTGATATTAGGGGTCATAAATAGGTCTGAAAACATGGTGAAACACCCACATTATGAATCTACCATGAAAATTGCTTCAAGCTCATGCAACCTACCAATTTAATCTAAATGACCTACACATGGTATAGTTGAGTTAGAAGTGAGTTACCTGATTATTCTAGGCTACTGGAAACGTCAAAATCTCAACTCAATGTGAGTTTCTTCTATCTCTTATCCTTATAGCTTTCTCCAATCTCTCTCTAGACAAACATAAAAGGATAGATTACTAGCTGAATAAAATGGTTAAGAAGGTAACAAGAACACTTCTTAAGCATATAGATTACTGAAAATGGGCTAAAATTTTGAAAAATCTTCAACCCCATAAAAACCCGTTCTTGGCTTCCATGGTGAAAAGGTGGAGTTGAGGGCTCAAATGAAAGCTCTAAAGATGTTAAATTTGTTTCTTACCTTGGTGTTGCTGAGCTAGGGTTGAAAGACTACCAAGTTACCTCCTTTAACTGTCTTACTTGAAGGAATAAGAAGAAGAAAAAGAAGAAATGCTAAAAGCTTGGAAGAAGACAAAGTCAATGAAGAAAAAAGGGCTTGCTCAGATGGTGATATCTCCCAATTTTAATGGAATTCAACTTTATTTTTGAACAAGGGTGTAATTTTTTCCTTGGTCCCTCTAATCCTGACTACAAATTAAAAACACCTTCTTTGCTCATTATTGGGCTAAATTCAAGCCCAAAGTCATTTCAACTTGGGCCAACCCTTCCCACAAGCTAAAAAATAATCCAAGGTCCATCTCGGGTTAGCCTAAACTTCTAACATGGGATTCGGGGCGTTACAAGTGATATCCAGTTATCGGGTTATTTTGATCCATTGATTTGTCGTCTTGTTCCTTGTTAGATTTGGCATTCTATAATCTTATTCTTTGGAAATTGAATTTTAGTTTGCATAACAGATATTACCCAGCTTCATTTTATCTCTAGATGCCTACCCTTTCATTTTTCGTTGAACTTGTGGTATTATTATTTGTTATCGGATGTTAAAAATATGTCATTATTTTTGAAATGTCGCATGAGTCCTTGAAAGAAGGAAAATGGAGAAATGAAGCAGAGATGTCTGAAGAAGAAGCAGGGAAAAGATAAACAACAATGACATTGGGAAGAAAACTTATTAAAAATGGATAAATTAAAATGTTATCCTCAAACTGATTTGAATTTACAAGAAGACACATAATCAATATTTTGTCTAAAGTGTAAGGGTTAAAATAAATTAAACCATTTTACTAACGGGTCATGTCATAAAACTAACGACATTCAACGTCCAAGTGACCAAAAATTAATAAAACAATAGCGTAAGTGATCATAACTTAATAAAACGATAACGTAAGTGACCAAAACTTATGTTTTTTAAATTTAATGATAAAAAATGTATAAATATGAAAGGAACGTGATCAAAACTTAATTCACGAATTATCTACGTAGAAATGATGTAATTTTAATTTTAAATGTTTACCGTCTCACGTTAGCAAACCGTTAAATGTTTAACGACCGTTAACATTCAGTGACCATATCTTAATTAAAATAAAACGAAAGTAACAAAATCTTATGTTTTTTGAATTGTACGAGAAAAAGTTTATAAAACTCAAATGAAAGTGATCATTTCTATAGTTTACCCAAAAAAAATTACTATACTTTTTCCTTTCATCTATTATATGCATGAATTTATCTAGTTTAAAGCATGCATTTATCTAATTTAAACCCCCAACAAATACATTACATGTGAGAATATTAAGAGAACAAAGGATTGAAATGAAAAATTTCACGCTAAATCTCATATCCAATCCTAGATTGACATCTTTGTTAGGCTCCTTTTTTTTTTTGTCCTCTTTCCAATTCTTGTCTCGTTGATCTCATCCACTCCCCAACAGCGAAAAACCAATATTTTTTCTTAAATTTTCTTCGACATTTCCCATTTGATCAAATTCTGATTCTTCTCTTCAAAGAAAACCCATTTTACCCCACTGTTTTTCATCAGTCATTAACCATACAAAAGAACATCATGTTTTATCATTACATAAATAAAGCAAAACAAGAAGGAAAAAGAAAACCCAGATTTTCCTGTCTTGTTCCTTGTCAAAATTCTCATGATTCTTTAAAAGATTTGTCTTTTTAGGTTCTCCAGTTTATGCTTTGTGGGTGGGGGATTGATTCTTGATTCCCAAGTAAAACTATTCTGGTTTTAAAGCCCTCTCATTTCATCTCCAGCAAGCAAACTGTTTATTAAAAATCACATCCTTTTTTTTATGTCTGAATTTCAAGTATGGAAGCTTTATTTCCAGTTTCTTTCATATCAAATGTGGATTTGTTTGATGATCATCAAGAGAGCCAAAACACGTACTGGACCAAAGAAGAAAACAAAAGATTTGAGCATGCTTTAGCCATATATGGTGAAGATGTCCCTGATAGATGGATCAAAGTTGCAGAGATGCTACCTGGGAAAACCGCCTACGATGTGATTAAACAGTACAGGGAATTGGAAGAAGATGTTTCCGATATCGAAGCTGGCCGAGTTCCAATCCCGGGCTATTTCGGATCATCTTTTACATTGGAATTGGTTGATAACCATGATTTTGATGGTTATAGGAAGAGGATTAATGGAGCTAAAGGCCATGATCATGAAAGGAAGAAAGGTGTTCCATGGACTGAGGAAGAACACAGGTGAATTTTCTTCCTAAACTCAAATTCTGTGGTTTTTTGTTTGAATCGGATCATGAAGTTAAGTTCAAGTACCAATTTGAATAGAAACTAAGTTTAGGTCTCTAATTGGACCAATGAAAATTTTAGGTGGCACATTAAGTAAATATCAAATTGAACTTTGAAGCTAAATTAGGTACCAAAATGTATATTTAATCATTTTTCTTGTGCTTTGACTGTGGCATGAAGGAGGTTCCTAATGGGGCTTGTAAAATATGGTAAAGGGGATTGGAAAAACATCTCAAGGAACTTTGTGGTTTCCAAAACACCAACCCAAGTTGCAAGCCATGCTCAAAAGTATTATCAAAGGCAGCTTTCAGGAGGGAAAGATAAGAGGAGACCGAGCATCCACGACATTACGGTCCTCAATCTCGCTAACACCGCTGAGTTTTCGAACGACTGGAAGCCGTCTTCGGTAAACCAGTCCGACGTTCTCACATTGCAGCAAAAGCTGGCCAGTAGGTCAAGAGTTGCAGGTCTTAGTTGGAGTCAGACCGATGATGAATCGGGTACGTATGGCAACCGGTTTACCACCTCGAATGGGCCGAGACTTGAAGGCCAAAATCTGTATGGCAGTGCTTATCGTGGGGAACATATCAAACCCCAAAACTCTGTATTCTAAAAATGTACAAGGCCGTTCTCTGTCGTAATCGAAAACACCGAAAACGTTTCGAGTTCATGATGTTAAATGGTTTGCTTCTTCCAAAATGGTGGAACCATGTAATGTAAATTTGTAATAATAATCCGATTATGAACCAAAAGAAAGAAGAAAAAAGACCATCTCAGACCCTGAATGTTCTTCCTGCAGTTCTCTGTCCGTTGGATGATGATGACCTGAAACCGAATCGTGCGAGGCCACGAACCGAGACACGACCGGACATGTTAGAGGTGAGATTGAGGATAGTGATATGGTCTAACAGGCAGACTCAATGGGCACTGCCATGGAAATTCCTTTGGTATTTTTGATAGTTTGCTTTTGGCTTAGGGACCCCTTTCCACTCGGATTCGATTGCTACCACTTAGTAGAAGCTGAGTTTGCGTTCCACTTAATTCAGCATCACATGCTTTCAATCTTTTTCAGAATATAGAAAGTGCAATTTCCGCATTTATTAAGTATTCGAATCTTCGCTTCTCTTAAATAAACATCTATATCTAACATAGATTATATTCGAATCTTAGTAACATGTCTGAGAAGCAAATAAGGAATCCAAGTATGCTTGTAAGTATCGACGTGTTATAACCATGTTGAAACGAATAAAACTAAATATCTAGCTTTGAAACTAGGCAGAATCTGATGTTTGACCTTTCTCGTTGACCTTGACAGACTTTTTTTTTTAATATTTTTTATTATGGATAAAGGAAAGAATACGACTTTACCCTTTTCTACATGTACTCGTTTTGCTTAAAAAAATTAAATAATAGTATTATCTCATTGAGGGGTATTTATGAGAATAACATATTTTAAATTTATTTCTATTATTCTGATTTCATTTGTTTTGGTCCTAAATGGTACAACCGTTGAGACTTGCATTCGAAACTGGTGCCATGTTACTAAAGACGTACTCTACAAAATAAAATCTTGAGCCTAAAATTAAGAATAAATAGTTTTGAAAATACAAGATATGATGTTTATACTCTAACTCTATGATCAGTAATATATCACAGAATTTTATGGAACGGAACAACACATCAACCAGAATATAAAAATTTTAATATATGAAAAAAAATAATGAAGTGCTGGAAATAACCTCAAAGAAATGGATGGATTGATGATGATGGTCACTCTATTTCATGGGGTAGGCAAATAGGCATTCACAAATGAATATAAAAATCTTGTCACTGTATTTGTTTTCTTCTCAATTTGCCATTGTGGGATTTACCCCATCATTGTTATATTGTAAATTTTTATATGATTATTTGTATTTAATCTCTGTTTATTAATCTTGATTAAATATTATAAAAGTTTATAATGAGAACGGCCCATTCAATTCAAATTATTTCTTTCATATCATCAAGATTTAAATTTATATACATAATAAAAAACTCGTAAAACTAAAATATATTCAAGAAAATTATAAATTTGTATCTTCCAATCGAATCTGAATAATATAAATCATTACTAGTGATGCAACTATGATTGAAATGGCTTAGGTTGTGCCCTACCAAATTACCAATGCCATATTGCATGCAAAATCTATTATTTTCTGTCACACAATAATAGACCTTTTTAGTGTACTTAAAAGCTACATATCAAACATGATCAACATGATTATCCTTTTATTTTTCACATAAGATGACAAAATCCATCTACTTCATATTTATATACATTTTATGTATAGTTGTACAAACATAATAATCCTAATTGAATAAAATTGTATTACATAAGTAGCATCACCAATTTTTCATATTAAACCAAATAAAATTTGGATAACAAATTCTAACATTCTCCCTAAAGAAAATATAAGAATTTTGAACTTTAACAATACCCTAATTATCATCATTCAAAACCCTCCATGCAAATATTATACTTACTCAGGGATAGATTGAGGGGAAGCTGGAGGCAATCACACTTCTAGAAATTTTACATTCTCGTATAATTTTAGTATTCACTTTGCATTTTCTATTCATGGTCTAATCTTACACCTCTGAAATTTGGTAATTTCATAATCATAAAATTTTAATATAACTTTTTAAAGATATGCACTCTAATGTCATAAAATAATACACCCATTCATGTAAGTACCTCTTTATATATATATATATATATATATATATATATATATATATATGCAAACCTTCCCATTACATTTGCATGATGCAATTTGCATATTGGACCTTTGAGTGCATTTCTTGTGTCGTCATATCTCACATTATGTGTCAAAGTGGAGTTGATGTTATTACTTTGATGCAAACTTTTACTTAATAAATTATTTGGTTGGCATGTTTTTTTTTTATTCCTTGAATGTAAGACCATCCATTAAGTAGATTTCAGTGTGTTACAGAGTGAACCAAAGTTGACTTCTCATTGTAGGATCAAAAGGACAGCTTTGTTTGTGTCTCTGTTTTTTTTTAAGATTTGTTCCAATCCACTATATAACAATGCATATTCTACACATTTGTGTAAAAGGATTAATGTTGAGAGGAAATTCAACAATTTGGCTTTGGTTTATTTGTTAGTCCTTTTTTATATTAAAATTTGGGGCTTGGGATTTAAGGTTGAAAGTGTTACAAAGTGCACCAAAGTTGACTTCTCATTGTAGGATCAAAAGGACAGCTTTGTTTGTGTGTGTGTTTTTTTTTTAAGATTTGTTTTAATCCACTGTATAAAAAAACACATTCTACTTTTTTTTGAAAGTAATATTAGGACATATTCGTTTATCGAAAATTGCATAGCAACGTCTAGCCAATTATAGATTGAACAAATATAGTCGTGATTATCAGAAGTAAAATATAACAATGATCGCCCAGTGATAGCCCGATAAGAAAAAACATAAACAAATGAGGCAACGACGTACATAAACGGATCACGCCAACGGCTCCGAGCACCAAACATGGAGGAGAAAATCTTGAAGAAGAGCCAAAACAGCCTACGGAAAAAGCGATCTCCCTCAGGGATTAAAATCGCGGTTGCGTTTTCGGTCATGTCTAGTTTACGGCTATTGCGGCCATAGCGGGTGCTATTGCAGGTATAGTTAATATATCGAAAGGCAGCGCTACCACTATTTCACGGGCGCTATCGCAGTCGCGGACCGCTATTTAAACTCTGATCTCCCCTTAACAACAATCTCATCCGACACAGATATGCGATAACATAGATCATTTTATACAAACGAATAGAGAAACCAGGCACCGTGAAAGCAAACAACCATGGAATCATGTAGAATCACAGACCAAAAAGAAGACCAATCAAAAAAATCTGCATCGAAAGTCCACAAACATTGATAGTCGTGATACCCTTTACCAGAAAAATGGCTAATAGAAAACATTATTATTAAACTATGTTAAACTAAAATTCAAGAACTAGTAAAAGTAGAATGAATTAACAGAAAAGAGGAACAAAAGGATAGGGTGTTGGCCGTGTACGGCCACTGCCGCTGCCCCAAAGATAGAACGATGGGTAACCGGCAGCCAAGAAAAGATAACTGCTGCAGAGAAAAGATGGAAATTAATCTCTCTACTTCAATACTACAATTTGAATTTTTTTACTTTAATAATATTAATAATAGATTCAAATGATGACATTGCTAATAATACTCGATAAAGTAATAATGCGGATTTTCATCTTCACTAGATGCATTAATCATCTAATGTTTAATGTTTAAGATATATTAGACTTAAATCATTTATTATATCATGAGTTTATAGTAAAATTCTTCTCGTCTCGAATTCGAAGGCTCTTGTTCCTCAAGTTTTTTATCTAATAATATTTTAGGTCTCTATCAGTTTACACTTAAGTTGTATTAAATTTCGTCCCCTCTAATTTTTTAGATAAACTTGACGAGTCCCTGTTATTTTGAACTTAGATAATTTCTCTCCCTTAATATTTGAGCTTCGTCTATGGTTACAACGAGGGTTACAACCAACAAAAGCTTATATTTGTTAACTCTTCAACAATAATAGTTAGGAATGTTATTAGTTTGGGGTTACAAATAACATTATAAAAATAGATAGAAGGATTTAAATCCCACATTTTGATATAGTATGAGGACTAAAACTATAATTAGACGAAGATTGAATTATTGCTTTATGATCCCACATCAAAATGCTATTTGGACACAGCAATTTCATCATCTGAGATGGGTCCAGAAACTGAAGTTAATGTCATCCAGAATCAGTCTTGAACTGTCATCATCTACAAATGTTGGAAGAGAAAACAAACGGCGGTTGGATCCGAAAAGGAACGGAATCGGTCCAGGGATGAAACGAACCGGGTCGGGTATGTACCGGGACGACAAGCCATGGAGGAAGAAGAAGAATAAGAGTGATCGCACACAGAAAACTGAAGAAAGCAAAGCTGGGAAAACATTTTTCTAGTAGATTGAATCTAAGAGTAGAAATGGACGGCAGAGAATGATTTGAAGAAAAGATCGAACGGTTAAATCGAAAGTATGATGTCAAGTGCGGCTCTCGAATTCAAAAATTAAACAAATATCAATGAAAGCGACAAAATGTATAATTTTAATAAAATATAATTAATTTGGTGGATTATGACGTGGGGGGTATATGATTGGATATATTTACTGTATAGTGGTGCTTTTACTGCAGTAGATTCCTGCAATCTTGTTGGAACAAATCTATAACGGCGAGAAAAAGTTTGAGGTTATTCAATTTTGTAAGTTTTTATAATTTATTTATATAATCTATTATGAACAAAATCACCCAAATCTAGAAATGTCTACGACATCTAATAAATAAATCCATAAAATTTGCAAATTGCTAACTCTCATATTCATTATATTTACTTTAGTTTTATATTAGGAGAAGAGGAAATAACTTGTCCAATGACCGAATCTGAGATAATATGTTAATCAGAATTTAACTTTGATACAACTCATTGATCAATGTACAATAAACTTGATTATTATCTAACTGTATGATTTTAAATTTAACTTTCAACATTAAAAAAAAAAAGACAAGAAAGAAAGAAAGAAAACTATCATTTTCTCAGAGGTGATTTAGTTGAGAAATGTAAGATTAATTTAAGCATATGGTTACAAAGTGTAGGCATTGGCGGAACGCCTAAAGGGCTAGTGGCACCATGGTCCCACCCCCAAAAATATTATTTGAAAAATAATATATATATATATATATATATATATATATAATATAGGGTAAACTACATATTTACTACTTAAACTATGAATTTTGTTTCATTTTTTATATCTAAACTTTATTTTTTTAAACTATAACTAACGTTTAGTTTAGGTTTCATTTCAGTATCCTACCATTAAAAACCTCAATA